GGTGTTTGGGTCCATTGTACCCTGAAGGTGGCAACGCAGGTGGATAGAGTGGTCAAGAAGGCATACGGCATGCTTTCATTCATCGGATGAGGTATTGAGTACAAGAGTTGGCAGGTCATGTTACAGTTGTATAGGAGATAGTAGGAACTGCAAATGCTGGAGAATCTGAGATAACAAGGTGTAGAGCTGGATGAACACAGCAGGCCAAGCAGCATCAGAGGAGCAGGAAGGCTGACGTTTCGGGCCTACACCCTTCTTCAGAAATGGGGGAGGGGAAGGGGTTTCTGAAATTAATAGGGAGAGAGGGGGAGGCGCATAGAAGATGGATAGAGGAGAAGATAGGTGGAGAGGAGACAGACCAGTCAAAGAGGCGGAGATGGAGACAGTAAAGATGAGTGTAGGTGAGGAGATAGGTCAGTCCAGGGAGGACGGACAGGTCAAGGGGGCGGGATAAGGTTAGTAGGGAGGAGATGGGGGTGGGGCTTGAGTTGGAAGGAGGGGATAAGTGGGAGGAATTACAGATTAGGGAGGCGGGGACGAGCTGGGCTGGTTTTGGGATGCGGTAAGGGGAGGGGAGATTTTGAAGCTTGTGAAGTCAACATTGATACCATTGGGCTGCAGGGTTCCCAAGTGGAATATAAGTTGCTGTTCCTGCAACCTTCAGGTAGCATCGTTGTGGCACTGCAGGAGGCCCAGGATGGACATGTCATCTGCGGAATGGGAGGGGGAGTTGAAATGGTTCGCGACTGGGAGGTGCAGTTGTTTAGTGCGAACCGCTGCATCTGCTCCCAGGATGAGGCATTCCGCTCCCAGGATGAGGCATTCCACTCCCGTACATCTCAGATGTCCTCGTTTTTCAAGGACCGCAACCTCCCCCCTGCCCTCAGTGGTCGAGAACGCCCTCAACTGTGTCTCCCGCATTTCCCGCAACTCATCACTCACACCCCCTCCCCGCAATAACAGCCAAAACAGAATCCCCCTCGTCCTCATGTACCACCCCACCAACCTGTGGATCCAACGCATCATCCTCCAACACTTCCACCATCTGCAATCCGACCCCTCCACCAAAGACATTTTTCCCTCCCCACCCTTATCTGCCTTTCGGAGGGACCACTCTCTCCGTGACTCCCTTGTCCGCTCCACACTCCCCTCCAGCCCCACCTCACCCGGCACTTTTCCCTGCAACCGCAGGAACTGCTACACCTGCCCCTACACCTCCCCCCTCACCTCCATCCCAGGCCCCAAGAAGACTTTCCACATCAAGCAGATGTTCACCTGCACATCTGCTAATGTGGTATATTGCATCCGCTGTACCCGTTGTGGCCTCCTCTATGTCAGGGAAACCAAGCGGAGGCTTGGGGACTGCTTTGCAGAACACTTACGCTCGGTTCGCACTAAACAACTGCACCTCCCAGTCGCGAACCATTTCAACTCCCCCTCCCATTCCGCAGATGACATGTCCATCCTGGGCCTCCTGCAGTGCCACAATGATGCTACCTGAAGGTTGCAGGAACAGCAACTCATATTCCGCTTGGGAACCCTGCAGCCCAATGGTATCAATGTTGACTTCACAAGCTTCAAAATCTCCCCTCCCCTTACCGCATCCCAAAACCAGCCCAGCTCGTCCCCGCCTCCCTAACCTGTAATTCCTCCCACCTATCCCCTCCTCCCACCTTAAGCCCCACCCCCATCTCCTACCTACTAACCTCATCCCACCCCCTTGACCTGTCCGTCCTCCCTGGACTGACCTATCTCCTCCCTACCTCCCCACCTACACTCACCTTTACTGTCTCCATCCCCGCCTCTTTGACCGGTCTGTCTCCTCTCCACCTATCTTCTCCTCTATCCATCTTCTATCTGCCTCCCCCTCTCTCCCTATTTATTTCAGAACCCCCTTCCCCTCCCCCATTTCTGAAGAAGGGTGTAGGCCCAAACGTCAGCCTTCCTGCTCCTCTGATGCTGCTTGGCCTGCTGTGTTCATCCAGTTCTACACCTTGTTATCATAGTTGTATAGGACTTTGGTTCGACCACGTTTGGAATACTGCGTACAGTTCTGGTCGCCACATTACCAAAAGGATGTGGATGCTTTGGAGAGGGTGCAGAGGAGGTTCACCAGGATGTTGCCTGGTATGGAGGGCGCTAGCTATGAAGACAGGTTGAGTAGATTAGGATTATTTACATTAGAAAGACGGAGGTTGAGGGGGGACCTGATTGAGGTCTACAAAATCATGAGCGGTATAGACAGGGTGGATAGCAAGAAGCTTTTTCCCAGAGTGGGGGACTCAATTACTAGGGGTCACGATTTCAAGGTGAGAGGGGAAAAGTTTAAGGGAGATATGCGTGGAAAGTTCTTTACGCAGAGGGTGGTGGGTGCCTGGAACGCATTGCCAGCGGAGGTGGTAGAGGCGGGCACGATAGCGTCATTTAAGATGTATCTAGACAGATACCTGAATGGGCAGGGAGCAGAGGGATACAGATCCTTGAAAAATAGGCAACAGGTTTAGAGAGAGGATCTGGATCAGTGCAGGCTTGGAGGGCCGAAGGGCCTGTTCCTGTGCTGTAATTCTCTTTGTTCTTTGTACTATCCTTGTTTCCTCATGAAAAGTATTTTAGGATGTGATGAATCCTAGGTTTTTATTTCGAAGGTGTTTTATGAGGTGGCGCGCAAGCACCTTCTGATTGCAGGGTCCTCAATGGAGACCGTCCTCGTCCAGAGCAGCCAAACAGACTGAAAGAACAGAGTACAGAGTGAGCTGTATCAGCATAGACTGCATTGACTCCTGGACAACCTCTGGGGTTTTGAATGTAGTCCTGGTGGAAGCCAGATGAATTCAGAGAAATTGTTAAAATGTGACTTCCAGTGTTTGAAATTGGGACCAGTTGGTGACATGAGATTGATGCTGGGTGGGTACCAAAAAGCATGAGATGATTGGAAACCCAACATTGCCTGATAGACGTTCCTTGGCCACTACCCAGGTGGCATCAGTGATCCAAAACTTTGGTGAGAAAAAAACTGAAGTTCCCTAAATGTGTTCCTCAGACATCAGATTAATCCAACCTTTTTATGATCAGAAAGGAGAGAGATTACAGTACAGTGGTTAAAGCAGTCTTTGCTGTGTGGGCTCTTTGCAGTGGGATAAGGTGACTGTTTTTAAGGAATGTGATTTTGCTATAAATAATCAGCAATGGAATTAAGGTTAAAGTTTACAGGGCAAAGTGCAGCTGCAGGTAATTGGATATTGTGTGGAAAATGAGGAGGTTGAGGAGCTGTGAATATGATTGATGCAGATTGATGCTTGGCTCCATTACCACGGAGTTTGAAAATATTCTTGGGTCATTCGTGTTTTGTTGTAGTATTGTTCACAGCTGATTGGAGGTATTATTGACGGACGTCAGCTTAAACCTTGTATGTGAACAATCCAGATTTTGAATATTCACTAACTGGTGACTCTAAATCGTCCTAATCCCTTGTGCCATGTTTGGGCGTTGATCGGGATGCAGGGGGTAGGGGAGAGATTGATTACTCTTCAGTTTTGAACAGCATTATTCCCCATCTGTAATCTGTCCCAGGCCCATTAGTCTGTTTAAGAGTGGCCCTCAGAGTTTTCACCCTTTCCAGCCGTGTGCATGTTCTTTGTCAGCCGTCTACGTTTTGGTTTGCGATTTCTCAGTCGATCACAGCGATTGAAGTTAATGAGTCTGGTTGTATTTTGTCTATAATATAACCGATGTGCTGCTGGATTCTATCACAGTCTAAACTTTGATCAGTTCCATGCAGTACTGCTTTCCTATTGTCAGTGCCTCTTTATGTCTGTCATGAGTGAGACCACTCGATTTCAGTTTCCACAGGAAAACAATCTTGGCTGTGAAATGTGAGCCTGAAGCATGGGTAAAAATCTGGAAATCCAAGAAAGCAAAATGGGGAGTTGAGTCTCAAACTGCCATCTTGAAGCAGCTCCCCTTGGTGACAGACTTTCATTTGGGAATTAGCTTTGGTTGGGTTTGAGTTGTTGATTTTTATGAAGCTGATCATCAGCTACATTTCTGATTGCTCAGTTTGGAGGAAGCTGTAAAAATTCTTGTATTCTAGACAAGCTTTGTTTCTCCTCGGAATAATTTCATCTCATTCCAGTCCTGTGAGCATCTCTATTTTTATTTCTCTATCACTGGGGAATCTGTTCAGTTGTTGGGCTTAAAGATCTGGAATTTCCCACTTGTATCTCTCTGTGGCTGCACCTTTTACAATACTCTTTTAACTGAGTTTTCGGTCACCTGCTTTCTAGATCAATATCCTGTTGTTCAATAACGCATCTTGGTAATGACGACTCAGAGGGACATGAATAGGGTGAATAGCCAAGGTCTTTTTCCCAGAATAACGGAGTCCAAAACTAGAGGGCATAGGTTTAAGGTGAGAGGGGAAATATTTAAAAGGGGCAACATTTCCATGCAGAGGGTGGTGTGTGTATAGAATGAGCTGCCAGAGGTGGAGGCTGGTACAATTTCAACATTTAAAAGGCAACTGGATGGGTGTATGAATAGAAAGGGTTTAGAGGAAGATGGGCCAAATACAAGCAAATGGGACTAGATAAATTTAGGATATCTGGTCAGCATGGACGAGTTGGACTGAAGGGTCTGTTTACAAGCTGTACAACTCTATGACTATGTTAAGGGAGCTAGGTAAATGAAGATGTTGTTTTGGTTCAGTGGAAAACAGGAGCTAACTGTTTATGGCTTTTGTCCAAGATAACTACCTTTGGCCCGAGAAACAGCTTCCAAGTCTGAATTAATCACGTCCAGGGAGAATAGTGAAACCTCCAGATCATCTAAATTTGTCAAGTCAGACTTGGAGGAGATATAATTTTCTAAACAGATGTACAACAAGAATACCTATCAGAAAGAAAAGCTGTTGGGGGGGAGGTGTTGTGTATGATCTGAAAGGGTTAACATGAGTGCAATATGCACTACCCATTAATATCATGTCATGGGGATTGACCCAACAGGATTTGCAGTAATGTGGAACCCATCCTGAGAACCTGTAAACAGTAGCAGAGACAGAGTCAAACGACACCATCTTCACTCAACAGGACTCCTTCTCATTAGACCAAAAGGTGGCTGCTCTTATACACGCAAGACCATGTAAATGCCGAAAGAATCCACACGCTTAGAAGATGCAGTTGTTACTGTTGTTCAGTGATTAACTTTGTTAATGTTTTTGAATTAATGTTAAAGTTTCAGCTGTTGATTTTGGTTTCTAGTTGATGCACCAATGTTCTCCTTTCTGATCTGAAAGGTTAACTTGTGCTGGGGTCAATTCCTTTGGTCTGGTGCTTCACTTTCCTGAGCTTGCTTCATGTCCTAAGACTTGACAGTTTGGTATAGTTGCACTGCCCTTGGTGAGCAGTGTTTTTAGTTTGCTCTTCGATTATGTAGTCCGATGGGTGATCTGCTCATGGGTTTCAGAGAAAAGGCTCAGTTTTTCAGGTTCAAGCAGTGGGTTGTGGAGGGGTTTGTAGTTCCCAACTGCCTGCCTCTCTTCTACAGCCCGTCTGTGCCTGGGTGCCCTTTGAAAAGGAGTGGCAGCCTCGAAGCATTTAGGGATAGATGGACACCGCAGGAGCTGGAGTGTATTATCACCACACTGACACCATTTTCAATTAGTCCCCTCCCTTGATTTTTCCTCTGTATTTGATTTCATGTCTCACTGCCCCCCTGGTGGACAGCATTGTTAACTTGTTAACTGGACTATTTGTAAATTTGGATTTGTAAAATCCTGGTTCTTCCCCAGTGAGGACTGGCTTCTGCAATGGGAAAGATTCCAGAAGGCAAAGGTGGAAACTGGTGTTTGTCCTAAACTATAGATTTACAATGAGCCTCTTGTAAGTCGCTGTAAGTCTTTTTGCTGCCTAATGCAAAGTATTTCTGTTAAACACTGGCCACCTAATATGAAAATAAATACAATGTTTTGAGAAGCAATTCAGGGAAGATTCGCTCTAATCCATTCTGGGATGAAGGATTTACCATGAGGGGAAAAGAAATACTGAAAATGTCAGGCTTTATCCACTGCAGCTTAGCATAATGAAAGGTGACCTTATTAAAACATTGAGGGGACTGGATAGGGTAGATATTAGGAGGATATTTTTCCCTGTGGGGAGACTGTAATTTGTGGGGGACATTAAAACAAAAATTAAAAAATAAATTGGAAATACGGGAACTTTTCTTTATTCTGAGAGGCTTGTTGGTTTCTGCAATTCTCATCCCCAGTGAGCAATGGAGGCTGGGCCATTGAATTTATTCACAGTAGAATTAGAATTTTGACTGACGTGGGAATCAAGAGTTACAGGGACAGACAGGGAAATGGAGCTGAGCCCACCACCGTGATTGAAGGCTGAATGACCTATTGCTTTCGGGTCCTATATTCCTCTGTTCACAAAATTTGTGCTACAAAACCCACAACAAGACCACCCTGCCTTGTTGCAGCTTATACACAGAAACCTGCATATCCCCTGTATTAAAGGGAGCAGATTTGGTCGCATGGCTCCAATCACCATTGAAGAGGCCAGGCTTTCTGGGCAGCTAACAAACTTATCGAAGTTTTATATTTGCACACTGTGAGAATGTAAACATTGATCTCGCATAACCAGTAACAGTTTTTATTGCTCATTCATATTTACCAACCAGCAATGCAATTAGCCACATCTGAATTCCTAATGAGGTACCCGTGACTTGTGGTTAATGTTTTTGGCAATGCTGTCCTGAAGTATCCCATGAGATATCCCTTTGAAGTGCAGTTCTTGTCATTACAATGTGTCTGGTTTTGCTGAAAAATTAATGATGTGTGAATGATGCAAGCCGCTCTGAATACCAGCACTGAACAGCATCTTGTAGTGAGAATACGCTGAGTTGCAAAGTGTCAGAAGGCGCTGACTGATTTACTCCACTCCACTGTTCACTTTAAGAAAATAACATCTCACCCTCAACTTTCTTGAGAGGTTAAAGGAATTGCAATTGTACTTTAACTTCCAGTTAAACTTGCTATAGACAGTGACATCTTGTAATTGTCAACATCATTCCCTTGAACATATTCCTCACTAAGACCTATCGCATATAGACAGGATGGTCAAAAAGTCATTTGGTACACTTGCCTTCATTGCTCAGTCCTTTGAGTACAGGGGTTGGGAAGTCATGTTGAGGTTGTACAGGACATTGGTAAGGCCTCTTCTGAAATACTGCGTCCAGTTCTGGTTGCCAGTTATAGGAAGGATATTATCGAGCTGGCGAGGGTTCAGAAGAGGTTTACCAGGATGTTGCCAGGTATGGAAAGTTTGAGTTATAAAGAAAGGCTGGATAGGCTATGACTTTTTTCACTGGAGCGTAGGAGGTTGAGAGGTGACGTGAAAAAATTTATAAAATAATAACAGGTATAGATAGAGTTAATGGTAGTTGCCTCTTCCTTAGGATTGGGGACTTTAAGACTAAGGGACACATTTTTAAGGTGAGAGAAGAGAGATTTAAAAAAGACACAAGGGGCAAAGTTATTACACAGAGGGTGATTGGTGTGTAGAATGAACTTCCTGAGGAAGTGGTAGATGCAGGTACAATTACAATGTTTCAAAGACATTTGGATACATACATGAATAGGAATGGTTTGGAGGGATATGGGCCAGAAGCAGGCAGGTGGGATTAGTTTAGTTTGGGATTATGTTCAACATGGACTGGTCTGTTTCTGTGCTCTATGACTATGACATTCTGTCTTGACTTGGAACTAAAGCTCTTTTCCTTCACCGTTATTGGCTCAACTCCTAGAACTCCCTCCCTGAAAGTCGATAAGTGTGAGGTCATCCATTTTTGTAGGAATAACAGCAAAATGGGCTATGTTTTAAATGGTAAAAAAATTGCAGCACGCTGCTGTGCAGAGGGACTTGGGTGTCCTTGTGCATGAATCGCTAAAAGTAGGATTGCGGGTGCAGCAGGTAATTAAAAAAGCAAATGGCATTTTGTCTGTAATTGCTAGAGGGATGGAGTTTAAAAACAGGGAGGCTATGCTGCAGCTGCATAGAGTCCTGGTGAGGCCACACCTGGAGTACTGTGTGCAGTTTTGGTCTCCTTAATTGAGAAGAGATATACTAGCAGAAGAGATTCACTCGGTTGATTCCAGAGTTGAGAGGGTTGGATTATGAGGAGAGACTGAGTAGACTGGGATTATACTCATTGGAATTCAGAAGAATGAGGGGAGATCTTATAGAAACATATAAGATTATGAAGGGAATAGATAAGGTGGAGGCAGGGAGGTTGTTTCAGCTAGCAGGTGAAACTAGGACTAGAGGGCATCGCCTCAAAATAAAGGGAAGCAGATGTAGGACTGAGGTCAGGAGGAACTTCTTCACCCAAAGGGTTGTGAATCTGTGGAATTCCCTGCCCAGTGAAGCGGTTGAAGCTACCTCGCTGAATGTTTTTAAGGCAAGGCTAGATAAATTTTTGAACAGTAAAGGAATTAAGGGTTATGGTGAGCGGGCGGGTAAGTGGAGCTGAGACTCAAAAAGATCAGCCATGATCTTATTGAATGGCGGGGCAGGCTCGAGGGGCCAGATGGCCCACTCCTGCTTCTAGTTCTTATGTTCTTATTGAAGCATTGACTGTGTCCTTACACCCCAAGGACTGCAAGGGCAGTTTAAGATGGCCATTATCTAATTGGCCCAGCCAGTGATGCCCACAGCCTATGAAAACAAAAGACTTTTATGCTTCCTCATCAAGCTCTCTCGCCTTGAAAAGCAAGCTTTTGAAGGTCCTAAATTGTTTTAACTGATGCTAAAAATGCCAAATTTGAAATTAATTTCTCTTACGTTTCTTTTCTGTCTCTATTTCTGCCTCTCAATCGAGTCTTTTTGTCTCTTTATTTCACTTTGCACTTGACTTGAGAATGAATTCACAGACTTGAATTTGCCCACCTTCTCAGTGCTTCCGCTGTTTATCTTTCATTCCTTTAATCCCATTGACTAAGGAGATGCACTGTTTAGCGCCATAGACAGGTCATGGCACCAAAGGAGACCCTCAGCCCATTGTAATGATCCTGGACTTCACTAAGATGGCCTTTTGCCCATCTTTATTTACATGTCCAGGAACATTGTGGGAAAAACATTTTTAATCAAACATATGATTGTTAGTGTAATTAATGGGATAACCTCCACTTCCTGTTCTGGCCCATCTTGACTAGTCATTAGTCTGTGGAAATACTCTTTGGAAGCTTAATATCTGTCAAAAGGAAATGTTAAAACTTGAATTAAAGAAGTTCTATCATGGTATTTCGATAAGTTCAAGGTAATCAGACAGAGTCAACATGAGGTTGTGAATGTTTAACCAATCAATCGGAGTTCTTCAAGTAACTAACATGCTGTGGATAAGGAAGAACCGGTGGATGTAGTGAACCTGAACTTCCAGAAGTAATTTAATAAGGTACATAAAAGATATTTGTCGAAAACAAAACCTCATGGTGTAGGGGTAATTAATTAGCAAGCGTAGAAGGCTGGTTAATAGTAAATAGAGATTAGGCATAAATGGATTATTTTCTTGTTACCAAAAGATGTGATGTGTGGTGTGCACTAGGGATCCTTTGATGGAGAATCAGAAAGAGGACAGTCCATGGAATGTTACTGTTCATTGTGACAATAATTGTCTACAAAAGTTGAGAGATTACACTTCACTTATACAGAGCACTGGTGAGGCCATCTCTAATGTACTGTGTGCAAGTTATTTATTTAAGGAAGGATGTAAATGCATTGGAGAAAGTCTGTCTAATGAGGAAAGGCTTGTAATCCGTTGAATTTAGAAGTGAAAAGGTGGCTTAATTGAAACCTATAAGATCCTAAGGTGTCTTGGCAGAGTAGGTATGGAAAGGATGTATCCTTTTGTGGGAGAATCAAGAACCAGGGTCAATGTTTATAAACAAGAAAGCAGTAATTTCTGAAGAAGGGTCTAGGCCCGAAACATCAGCTTTCCTGCTCCTCTGATGCTGCTTGGCCTGCTGTATTCATCTAACTCTACACCTTGTTATCTCAGTAATGAGGCACATTTCCTTTTCTCAGAGGGTCATGAGGTCTTTAGAATTCTCCTCCTGAAAGGGTGGTGGAAGCAGAGTCTTTGAGTCTTTATAAGGCAGAAGTAGATAAGGGGTGAAAGTTATAAGGGGTAGACAGGAACAAGAAATAATCAGATCAGCCATGATCTTATTAAGTGATGGAGCAGGCTCAAGGCACCTAATTTGAATGTCTGTTTGAATGTTACAGGACTTTGAAGTAATAGGATCCTCATTATTGGTGCAGGAGGAATGTGATGAATAGTGTATTGTGATCCTCATTTATTGATGCAAGATGATCTGATTATTGAAGAAATGTTTCTGAAATTACCAAATTCATACCAACCTTTGTACAGGCTTTTATTTTTGCAGCATTAGCCATGCCTCAGAGAGCAGTCCATTCAGTTACAGCCACCAATGAAAACTCTCAAAGATTTGAAGGGACTCACAGTTGCCAGAAATCAATCTAAGCTCCATTGCTACCTCATCACTTGCAATCCTAGAATCTTATGTCGCAGCTGCAGATTTTGGGGAGCCTTGCCCTGCTTGAGGGAAGTTATCAGGCTTAGATCTTAATCGAGTCCCAGTTACTATTCTGTTCTGTTCTGAGGAAGTGTCACCGGACCCGATACGTTAACTCTGATTTTTCCTTCACAGATGCCGCCAGACCTGCTGAGCCTCTCCAGCAATTTTGTTTTTGTCCCTGTTACTATTTCCTTACCTCTAGTGATTGTCCTGTTTTGTCTCTTGATTTTCTATTATTCTTGGAATTCTTTTAGTGGCTTCTACTGTGAAGAGAGATATAAAAAATTGTTCAAATCTCTATGATGTCCTTCTTTCTTATTATTAATTTCCCAGTCTTATAATCTCAGGGACCAACACTCATTTTCTCCACCATTTTCCTTTTTATGTATTTGTAGAAACTTTTACTTGCCCTCAAACAGACTATGAAGTTATGACATACTATAAAAGCTCTGGCATAGAGGACCTTTTTGTTACAGCTGGTTCCTAGGTGAGGTTCCCCAATCTGTTCCAGACAGGGTATCCTGAATTGTTAGGCTGGCTATTCAGGAAGGATGGACC